GGAAGACGGCCGGCTGACGTCCCTGACGGTAAATGGTAAGGAGCAGCCACTGCGCTTGGATAGCAAGTAACGACGCACGCGCGCGGCTGAGGACTGGCAGGAGTGTTTCTGAAGATTTCAGATGAACTCGACTCAGTCTGACGTGCCCAATCTAAAGTATTTATACACAGCTCGTCGGAGCCCTGTTTGTCATAGACTTTTGAGTTTATTGTTGGGACCACATGATAGGACCATTTTTTTGTCTTTAAAATTGTTGTAAATCTGTATGCACTTTGCTTTTTTATTAAACGTAATCCAAGGTGGCCGTGACTCTTTCATACACTAACACCAGCACGGACCTGCTTCTCCATTGTGTTTGAGACGTGAGCCAAGTAGTGTCAGCCTGCTGTGAACTTAACATTGCCAGGACGAAGCTTCCACAAAAATAATTTCAGTTTTCAGTATTTAGTAGTGAAAGACTAATGCATTAACGGTAATACATTTCTGATTTAATATAAATTGAGGATGTTTTCTAGTTGTGCATGAACGCTGGCAACTTAGTAAGTTTTGACAATTGTTTAAATATGTAACGTTAAGCTTAGGTTTAAAAAGTAAAGCTGGTAAACTGGGTCTTTGTCATTTGCTTAAAAAAAAAAAAAAAGAAAATAAATGCGAATGTTTGGTGCATTCTTTCCTGAGTGGGATCTGTGGCCTTCTTGTGTCCGTGTGATTCTGTGCCTGGGCTTCGGCTGTCACCTCGTGACTGCTTCGTTCTGCTCGCTAATGTGGATGCCAAACTTAATGACGTGTGTTCGTTTTCTTCAGTGTGTTTGGAGAGTGTATGAAGATTTTCCTATTTATGTTAAAATGATTAGCAATTTAATGGCGATTTTAATGTGGTAACATTTCTCTGCGGAGAGAAGGAACAACTGTATATTTTTTCCTTTTTCAAAGTACGTTCTAGCTTTCTAGGTTGTGCCTGATGCCAGCTCCCTTAAAGACTATGCACGGTAACATCGCGGAGTGGGGAAAAGTGGGCAGAAACAAAGGTGTTTCTTTTGTTTCCCAGTCTGTGAAATCTGTCACGCTCTCCTCTGGTGACTAGAGTTCCAGCCGGAGGAACATTAAACAAGACTGGTGATACTTCCCCTCCCCCCGGGTTTCGTTTTGGAAATAAGCAGCGCGAGAACTGTCAGATGGGATTCGACTGAGGGTCATTCCCTGCCAGACACGTTCCGTTCACGCAGCCTTTGCTTGGAAGCGTGGATATCCTGAAAATCTAAACGTGTCATTGTTGAAAACAGATATTTTAAAAAATTTTAGAGGCGCTATAAAATCATAGCAAAATTTATTGTACGAATTCCAAGACATTTGAACTAAGGAAAACAGCGGAAGAGACGCTTAAACGTGCCGTCTGAGCTCCTGGCACCGTCGCGTAAGGGAGTTACGTGGGCGCGTCACGTGCTGGGAGACAGCGCTGCAGAAGCCAGCGTCACAGACCGAACCGTCAGCGCCGGAAAGCCGGCCTCCGTTTCTGCCCTTAGCACGGGTGGTTTCCCTGTTCGGTGAGAAAGTCAAGTGAATGCCTGGAACTTGAGTTTCACGTTTTTCATCAGTGGGTGGGATGAACCATTTGTTAGTGGCGTGACGGTCCCCTAGGGCTGGAGACCGGGTCAGTGAGAACTTTCGTCTGTCCATCATCGCTGGTGGCCCGGGCAGCGTTCCACGCTTCCACCTTTGTGGACGTGCCGAGGTGCTGGGGCTCGGCGTCCAGTGCGGCTCTGGCGTGGACAGCACTCGAACTGGCGTGACAGGTACAGGATGTTGGACGCCTGAGTGGTCTTTTTTTGGGGATCATCACGTTTGAGAAAATTGCCTTGGTTCTGCACCTGTGTTGATAGACGTGTTGACTTTGTTCGGTGGTTAATCGGCCCAGGGCCTGCGTTTCGCTGTGGACGCAGCTCTCCGCTCTCCGTAGTCAGGCCGCTGCTCGCAGAGGGGCGTCGCTAATCCGGAAGGAGTTGGGAGAACCCCTGATGGGCGTGGCAGGTTCCGGTCATTTGTCCGTGCCTGTTTTGTGTTTCAGAAACCTTTCCACAGTCTTGAACGCCTTGAAAGCAGGGTGCCGAGTGCTCGCCCCACACCTCGAGGCCCGTGCGGACGGCCGCCGCCCTCTGTCACGCCGTGAGCTCGCGCTCCCTGCTCGCCGTCCAGTTACAGACCGGAGCGCGCTCAGATTCCCCGGAGCAGAGATTCAAGGGGATGTCATCTGTTCCACTGGGGAGGTCAGAGGCGTGAGAGGCACAGGGCTCTGGCCGTGTCTGTCGGACGTCCCCAAGGCGCGCCACAGCTGGTTCTTGGGGTGCCGGTGGTCCATGGAACTGGGGTAAGCCTTCGCCGCCTTGTTGCTGGGAATCCGGCGGTGGCTTCTTTCTGTCCAGCCGCTGTGAGAAAGCGAGTTTCTGACCTGGGGCTGTGGTGTGGGTCACGGGGACCCTGAGCAGACTCCTGTCCTGTCCTCCTGCGTTCAGGATGTGGGAGACCTTGCTTTGCAGGCCAGCCCCCAAAGAGGGCAGCAGGGCTGTTCCTTGCTGCTGCCACCGCCCAGGGTGCTCCAGGTGTCTGTCAATGCCATGCACACCCAGGTGGTCCCATCCCGCAGCACGCACTCCCGCCCACCTCGGATGCTGGCCTGCTAACCCGGGACCACGTGTCCCCAACCTTCGAATGCCAAGAGACAGCCACCTCTGGCCGGGGAGGACTCGGGTGCATCTTGGCTTCATGCCGTTCTTTGCACCCCCGACTAGTGACCGTTGATGCCGCGGCGTGGCCCGCAGCACTGTAGCCGCTCCCTGTGGGCCTGGTCCGTGCCGTGGTCCCCGCCCCTGCCTGCTGCTGCTGCCAGCCCGGGGTTGTGTCCTGTGCCAGAAGGCGGCAGCGGTGGAAAACGGTGAACCGCAGTTGTCGCTGGGGGTGACTCTTGGCTTTTCCTTGTTCCGTCCCGTGGGAGAAGAGCCTGCAGGGCAGTGCTGGGCTCTCCGTCGACTTGTCCCTAGGACATGAGAGGAGGGCTGGCCCGACCATGGGCTGGCGGTCAGCACGCGCGCCCTTGTACCCTTGGGAGGCCTCCCGTGCTTTTCTGTCCCCGTGGTCATCTGGCCTTGGCGCATGGTCTGCTTCCTGATGCCTTTGAACCTTTCCTGCTGTGACCAGTTTGTGGAGCTTTGCTGGGTCATCAGGCGAGTGAGTGGTGCGTGTTTCAGCCTGATGAGCCCCTCCCACTGGGTCCAGCTCAGGTCTTTCTCCTTAATGTATGTTTGTTGTATCTGAGGCCTTAATCAAAACAGAGCTTGTAAAAACTGGTTGTCACGGACAGGAAGTTTGTATCTCATTGATTCTGTGAACTTTATTGTGGTTTTTTTTTTTTTGGTTAGGAATTTGTGCGTGTGTGTTTACTGTATTAATGATGTTGCTTATGTTAGTCTGGAAGCTGTGGTGAGGCAGACGGTGACGTTTATTTCCCACGTGTATCGTGACTTTGGCCTTTCCCTGCTGTGGAATGGGACTTAATCCTTAATGCTGCCTCATCTTTGGGTTTGTTTTCTGGAGGAGCTTGTCAGGGTTCTCCCACAGCGAATCAATTTGTTAAGGGCTGGTGTTTGAAGAGAGAGAAACGATCCTCCAGCCTGTAACACACCGGAGGAGGCTCTGTCTGTCTCACCGTCACCCAGAGGCGTGGCGTCGCCGACACGGACGGTGTAGGTGAGCTGTTTCCCACTGGTTACCCAGGCGGAAGCGCAGCACGAGGAACGAAGCCTCACGAGCAGCGCCGTGCGGGGCGGGGGCGGGGGGGTCGCCTTTGTGCTTGGAAGCAGCCACTTCAGTGTGGCGCTGTGGGTGCCAGTGTCAAGTGCAAAGGCTCTAACGTGTTCATCGTATTCTTCATTTGACTTTGAAAACGAACGTGTCATCCATTTTTGCATTCGGTTTTAAGGAGGGTCTTGTGGGGGTCTTGCTGGGTGCATGGCCATCGGCGCTGCAGCGGTCGTGGGCACGGCGTTGGGCTGCCCGGCTGGAGGCGGCTGCTGGTGCTGACGCCCGATGTCGCCCAGTGGAGTGTGACTTGGATGGAACAGGACACCTGCGTAGAATTCCCTGGCACGTGTCTTGTTATATGGTTTTTTAAAAACCCGTTTCATCTAAATGGTTGTTTAAAAAATAATTTGTTAACGGATGTCAGTGTTTCAGAGAAGACTGACGAACTTTGAAAAAGAAACTGTAGAATCACTTGTCGTGAAATTTTTTCTGTGGATTCAACTGCGCGTCTTTGAGAGTCAGGTTTCGTAGGTCTGTGGCCCTGTAGAAGCTGGAGTCCCTTCTGTCGTAGTGCCTTCTGCAGGGTCACCTCAGTCATGCATCGTGGCCCCCTCGTCTCTCCTGATGAAAGTCGTGCTTCAGACCCAGCCCGTGGCCGCTGCAGTGGAGGCTGAGCACAGGGCAGGCTGGTGTCCTGGGGGGGTGGTGGCACACGGGGTCTCGGCCACTTGGCTTCCTATAGTCCGGCTTTTTCCTCCCTTTGCCTCCAGCAAAGCACAGGCCTCCCCAGGTCCTTCCTCGGAGCCAGTCCTGACCTGTCCTGGTGGCCCCTCAGCGTCAGGGACGTGTGGCCCCAGGTCCTGGTAGGAAGAGGCTTCGGGGGCGGGGGGCGTCTCCCTCCGCCCGTGGGTCCTCTGCGGCCTCTGGCTTGTACGCTGGGTGTCAGGGGCGCTTGGGGCAGCCTGCCGTGGTGGGGTGACACGTGACCCGAGGCCTGCTGCTGGTCAGCTTTGGGCCGGAGGGGAGAGCTGGCCCTTGTCCTGTGGCCTTGGGACCACGGAGGAAGCCAGCATCCTCTGCGTTCCTTGCCTCCTACCTTAGGACTGTCCTCCGACCCCCCACCCCACAGGGTAGCGGGGGTAGGGTATCCGCGGCCCAGGCACCGTGGACGTCGTCAGCACAGCAGCCTTTCCGGAGACTGTGACGTCCCTTCTTGGGACAAGGCTGCAGACACAGGGTG